AAGCGGTGCGTACAGCAGCAGCAGCAGCCCGAGCTGCTGCTGCGTGGATTGTTACATCGCGGGCTTGTGGAAAGGGCGACGGCTTCAGGGAAGCCCTCATCCAGCAGTGGATTCATCACGCGTGACTGCCCGGCAAGGGATGGTCAAACAGCCACCAAAACATTGTGGTGAGGCATTCATCTAGCAGTAGATTGAACAAGCCGTGTGGATGTTCATGCATTGGGTTCATAATCTAAGTGTCCGTGTCACGTCAACAATTGCAACAATATTCTTACAAACATCTGACCATCTTGTTAACCAGGTTTTGGATTATCACCATAGTACTGTGTTGCATATATGACACATTGAATCAAATTACAAAGTATTTGAATGCTATAAATTTCCAAAGGAAAAGCCACTTCGTTGAGCTATCATTTGTGGCCAGGTAGCTTTGAAAAATAACTCTTTAGCTCGGTGTGCCTTACCTGGTACGAATCTTGACTTAAAGCTTTCATGACTGCAGGAATTCATATTCTTTGGGTCTTTCAGTAAAGCCACGTAGATAGAAAAAATAAAAATAAACTAATAACAATATCACGACGTTTCGATCGCAACAAGAAAAATGCTAAACCCTCACAATACAATGGCCACCCCACACAGCTCCGTAGTACCTCTCCCACATTGGCATTAACTACCCCGCCCATCTCTAAACATTTGTAAACAGCCCGTTGATTGGTGTAGACCTACTGCAGGTGTCAGAGACCTTCCCCACATTAACATTAGCTACCCCGCCCATCTCTAAACCATTTGTAAACAGCTCCATTTGTAAACAACTGTGTACAATGTTTATGAGGGTTTATTAGGCTAACTCTGCTAACCTCGGAACCATGATCCAGTGGGACATGGAGCGGGGAATCCCAGGAATATAGATACAAAGCGGCTTATCACGATGCTGCATTGTCAGCATAACGGTAGACACTTGGCTGAAGATATCAGGTTGACAGGCATTCGTAACCACTGCGTGCTCCCAGTCGTATGCGCTGAGACATCGTGACTACCCTCGGAAGATTCCATACACCCCCTGCTCACACAATCCATGACCTTCCACCCTGGGCCTGTTCTACTCACGCTGTGCCCTGGCTACTCGTGTTCTTCAGAGCGAGAAACCACAGCCTGCACCTCTGTGGGATGGCATGGCAGGTGCGTACAAGCGTGCGGGCATATTGTGGTAAATAGTTATGTTTTTTCCCCTTGTTACCCCGATGCGCATGGCTATTCAGGATTAGGGATGCCCCAACTGACAGACTGAGTGGTGGTGGTGGTGTTGGAGTTAATAAAAAGGGGTTATTGCATCCAGGGTGAGTGTCGGATGAACCATGTTAGTGGAATAGAAGGGGGAGACCTACGCCTCAACTACATCTGTGTATCTGTGTCTCTATGCGTCTGTCTGTGTTTCTGTGTCTTTGTGATTCTATCCGTCTGTTTTTATGTCTCTGTTTAAGTGTTTGTATATTTGTTTCTTTGTATGTGTTTTTGAGTGTTTTTTTTTTTGCTGTGTTTCTGTGTCTGTATGTGTTTCTGTATATTTGTGTGTCTGTGTTTTTGTATTCCTGTGACCGTGTCCCTGTCACTGTTTCTGTGTCTCAGTGTTTCTGTGTTTTTGTGTTTATGTATCTCTGTTTTTCTGTATGCCTCTTTGCCACTGTGACTGTGTTTCTGTGTCTCTGTGTGTTTTTATGTCTTCATGATTCTGTGTCGCTGTGTTTATTTCTGTGTCTGTGTCTCTCTCTTGCACTGAGTGTTCTGCACTCTTTTCACGTCAGGGAAGCCGCCCCCTCCCCATCTAATGACGTCATCAACCAATGAACTGGTGACTTTTTTTGCAATGACCCTTCTCCATGTCATCAATAATAGCGTAGCATGTGAGGCTTTGACTGCATTAAAATATACAATAGGCACAATAGGCGACGTTTTGGGAAATGGACTCCCTTTCTTCTTCATAGCACATGCAAAGAGAAGCCAGGAGAGAGGCAGATTGGATGCTAAGAGCTGCAGGCTCCATTGGTTTACACCATGGGCCTGGGGGCCGATGAGAATCACATTTCACACGAGTTTCAACGTTCAGGTTCTCATCAGCGGCAGAGATTGAGCCTGATGAAGGTGAATCTGCTGCTGATGAGACAATGAAAGTCAAAACCGGTCCAGAGTATTGCTGGAACTGAACAAATGGTTCAAGCAAGCCTGACTCTTGATGAGACACTGAATGTTAAAACCGGTCCAGAGTTTTACTTGTAAGAACAAATGGTTAAAGTGAGCCAGAGAGGCCCTCTGATGCTTTGTCTTCATCGGCCTTGATAGCAAGCCGAGTGTTACAGAGTATCAGAGAAGGTGGGAGTGTGCGTATTTGCCTTTTCGGAGTTGGTGGGATGCTAAGTTTACCAAACTAAAGTGAGTATCCAACGCCCTGCATGAACATAAAGGGCCGGTTGACTCTGCCCACGTATGTATGTTGAACTTCTTTCGCAGCATACGTAGCCAACCTTACTACTCGGAGGTCCACGTGTGTACATTAAAGCCATCACCATCTTAACCACACGTTCAGGGTGGTGCATGAGGTCTCGAGGCTTCATTTTCGCATTGTGTAGATGATAGAGGTTATTGGGAGACACCTGGGGCCTAAAGGTGCGGTAGAGGGAATGGACACTGTTTGACCAGAGGAAAAAATGCACCAAGTAGTGTGTGTAAACACATCATAGCGGTAGACAAGTCGAGAGGCTGAGTTGATTGATTGCAAGGGCCCTTAATCAGACCATACCGAAAGTGACTCATCGGGGCCACTGCGCATCAGCGTCAACACCGAGTGGAACCGTTCTATGCATGACAAGGAGGCACAAGTCCCACCGTGGGTTTCAAGGGGGAGTCGGTGAAGCCAAGACCCAGACCCCTCCCCGTCCCCTCCCCCACTGTGAACTTCGAGTTGCATGACATACAAACGAGTTTGAGACGATGTTACGAATATTGTATTTTTATTACGTCTATTAAACCAACAATGATACTTATATAACTATGAATAAAATTAATCTATAACTGTTAACAGGTGGCCTTGGTACTTGCCCTTTTTGGCTTCATCTGTGATATCACCAGGCCACCTCAGCTCTCAAATGCTGGTTCAGCTATGCCCTTCCATGTCCTGGAAACCGTGGCGAGGTCATCCTCTGAGGACTGCCCGGATGAAAACCAGGATGGCAGGGCCCAGCGTAGGGCTAACTACACTAATGGGCTAGTCCCATGTGTGTGGTGTGTGTAGTGTGTATGTGTGTACAGTCAGTTCTGCTATAAAGCATGTTTTCATCACGCAAATATTGTATTAAGGAACACATTATTTTTATAACGCGGATGAGAATTGGATGAACGCGATTGAGTGAATAGAACTATGCCGTGCGAGTTGGAATAAGCGGTTGTATGGCTGCCTCGGCATAAGATCACGCAAGGCGAATCTAGATGCTACCCATGCACCTTGGTCATTGTTCAGCCTGCATACGCATCTCGCGTGTCATCGTGGACTGTGTTTTACTCTATACAGTATTGCTGTATTCGTCTCGCTTTATCATGCAACTTTGTAGTGCAATATTAATGAATTAACCATGTTTCTTCTAATATTATGTGTTTATCATGTTGTTAGTAACTTTATTTGTTAATATACATTTTTTAAACATTATAAAGTACGTTTTATGGGTGGAAAAGGGGTAACTTTTGATGCTATGGAAACAAATTAAGCCTTTAACATGTCTTTCCTATACTTGCCTAATGACCAAATTATAGTCGACCCTTCTGCATCGCGACTTTCCCCATTGCGGTTTCAATATATTGCGGGGTCGTTATAAGAAATAAAATGGGAATTTTTGGGGAGTTTTTGGGAGTTTTGCGAAAGCCACCGATGACACGCAAAGGTCAGCAGACAACACAAAAAGTTTAGGGACTCATAAATCCATAAAATATATGTACAGTACTGTATATTATTCTATTGTATCTTTCAACATCATAAATATACACTTTATTTTTTAAAGTTACATTTTGTAAAAAGTTAAGTTTGCTAAAAGAACGCAAAAGCCAGCAGACGACACGCAAAGGCTGAACATGTAGAGATAATTTAAAAAGTTTAGTAACTGGAGGTGCTTGCTTCGCTCACCAAGGGGACCAAAACATTTAACTTGTTTTTTTCAGATCGCGGGGCCTGCACCTCTAACCCCCGCGATGTGGAAGGGTCGACTCTACTTGTTAAATTACCAACTTACTTAATGACCGTATTCATGGAACCAATTACCGTCATTAAGAGGGGTTTTATTCTATATGTGTAGGGGTAAAAAAACTCAGGAGATGGGATCTGATATTGATGCTAGCACCGGAAGTTGCTCATGTATTCGCTTAGGCGAGCGTGTGTGTATACGGTGTGTGGAATGTGTACGCGCCCAGGATGAGCATTACGGTCGCATGCGGTGCATTTCTTAAAGCCACGGAAGAATGAGCATACGGCCCTGTATGCTCGAACCAGACGTGACTTCTTCTTCTCTTTGTGCAGGGGTTCACCCCACTCTCTAGTCTCCTCCTTGGCGGATGCCTCTGAGTGGATTGATGTGTCCACAACAGGGACACACTGACTCGGCAATTCCTCATCCCTCGGCACTTCCTCATCCCTCGGAATTTCCTCATCCCTCGGAATTTCCTCATCCCTCAGCCAGCTGTGCGCCAGTGCCTCTGCTGGTGTCATCCGCAGAGCTGGATCCCATCTGTTGAGGCACACAGAAATATGTGGCACACGTGGCAAGGGTTATAATGATGTAAGTATTTACGTGAATTTTTTTCTCTTACTGTGTCCATTAACTTACGTGTGTATGTTCAACTTATTTCGCACCATACATAGCCAACCGTGCCAATTGCAGGTACGGGTGAAGGACAACAAACTACATTCAATCATGAGTTAAAAAAAAAGTAGTTTTCAATCTATATTTAAAAGTTAATTGCCCCAGTGGTGTTGTGGTTAATTTGTAGTTCATTTGTGGTAAGCACTTTGTGTGTATTGAGTGTGATGTATTCGTTTAGCAAGTGTAATCCAATGCAGCTCCGTGAACACTGGACGGACATGGTTGGATCTTGCAAAGAATATTGTACATGCTGCAGCTTCCTAATGCTTTTTGCAGACGTCCCGTAGACTAGTGAGTTGCAATAATCTAACGTATACGCCACGATGTTGGCTATGTCATGACTCAATAGTGGCTGATTGTGTCATAGAGCCCTGATTAAAAAAAAATTGCAGGACCTGACTATATAAAAAAGGGAGAAGCATAAATCCTCCACTATTGGTGATGACTGGCAGATGAACCTTCTGTTCTCCCCACTGTGCCACCTTGATGTATTTTTCCCCCTGGTGGTCCGCTCATTGTGAACATCGCTCCACTACCCTCAATTGTTGTTGGAGGGTCAATGCTTACAACTGTCCAGCAGCCTCAATGTACGTGTAGCCTGGCGTTGCCCAGTGGCATCCTTCACCGAGCCCCCTCCACATACATGATATACATATATCGATATATGTTCCTTTTATGGGCTTTCATGTAAGAGTATGTGAGTCTATTGGTTTCTATAAGTGTATAGACCATGTGAGTGTATGAGTCTGGGTCTTTATATGTGTATGGACCACGTCAGTGCATGTGAGTCTATTTGTCTATGTATTTGTAAATGTATGGCTGATGTAAGTGTATGCAAGTTTGTGGGTCTCTATGTAAGTGTGTGGACATTAAGGGCCTTCATGATGGTGGGCAATCTCAGGTAAAGCTATGTGGCCTGAAGTCAGAGCCATTCCCTGTTTACCTTGGGGTGCGAACGGGATGTCCTCTGCCTCCCACATTATTTAACATATTTTTCGACCACGTAGTCTGTGGATATTGGTATGGACCATGTGAGTGTATGACAGTATATGGGTCTCTCTTTACGTGTGTAGTGTTATAACGCGGGCTGCTGACGGGGAAGCGGCAGAGGCAGCAGGGGGCAGTACACACATCAGCAGAGGGAGATCTAAAGGGAAGCCCAGGAAGAAATCGATCTGGAAGCCTGAGAACCCGCTAGTAGGTTCGAGAAAGAGGGCGTGGCAAGGGCGGGGCGAGGCCACGCCAGGGGAATAAAAGGGGGCCCGGGACGGGAGCTCGCGGCTGTTGCTGGAAGTGGATCCCCTCGCCGTGTCACCGTTCATCACCTTCGTCGGTTCCGTCTCCGACCACCTTAGACGCCGCAAGCTAGACAGCCTGCAGACTGTTCCAGCTAGGTAGTACCTTCAAGAACATGGATGTGTGACTAGTGCGTAGGCACGCAGGGCACATGTGGTTTCCTGACGTGTGGAATAAGGAAGGTCCCTTAAGAACCCTGTCTCCGACTGAGTCACTACACGTGCATCGGCCATGTAAGTACGTGAGTCTGTGGGTCTCTATGCAAGTGCATGTTTTTACATGCAAGACTATGGACAATGGTGTTTAATGGGAGATATGGCTTGGAAGATGAAGAATAATCAGAATAGAGGGTGGAGCTAGTGATCAAAGAGGAGCTTTCGCCAGTGATGTTAAACTATTAAACTCTTTTCTTTTTACCAGGTGACTGAATGGGAAAACCTCTCGGTGGTATGGTGGGAGCGGGGGGGTGTTCTTACTCCAGGCAGCGGCTAATGAAGTCATGGAACTCCGAGTCCTGGCTCCCGAGTGCCAAGTAGAGTGGGTGACTGCCTGGGACCCTGCTTTGTCCGGACATCAAAGGCATCCCCGAACCATCTGCAGGAACGATGCAGACCAGTTAAAACATCACAACAAACCACAGCACCCTTGTACACCCACAGCGTAGAAACAAAATCTTTTAGTGCTCTGACATAGATCAGTGGGAGTGCTTTGACCGCATGTTGCAGAAGTTCATGGTTCAAATTCTGCAAGCCGCCCTGGTTATTACTTCAGTATTAACCATATGATGCTTTGCGCTGTTTGATTTAAAATGGGACATTACAGACCTTGTGAAGTAATAAAATTACCGTGCTGGCGTTATGCCCGCTACTGTGAAATGACTGCAGTTGGTGTCTGTGAAACACAGCAGGCACCTTCCTTTGTGATAGCTTTGCATTCTAAGAATGATAGTGCAAATACCAAGTGCAATCAATATTTATTAACTATGATAAATCCTTGAGGTAAACAAAGAAGAGCTATTTTAACTGTGATTGAATCTCTTTCAAGCAAAACATTATTTTTTACCACGTAAAGCCCACTGAACTATTGCCTCTTCTTCAGAGGCGACCAGGCAAAGGGGAGAAGATATGTTCCCGCAATGTACAGCAGCCAGGGTGGGGATCCACGCGACGACCTTCTACATTGAAGGTGAGGGAGGAAACGTCTCCTCGCCTCTGCAGCTTCCCAAAAACGTCCGATCTGATTGCTAAACGTGGTTTTGAGCATTGCCCTTCACATTACAGATGATTCTACTAAAATACTAATCACAACTGGCGTCTCTTTAATCGCTTGCACTTCATGGTACTTTAATTTGCTTGCCTGTGTCAGGTGGTGGAGAGCCTTAATGACACAAATTTGGGCAGATCACCATGAGGTCTAACCCTTCCCCAAAAAAGCATTATGAATTATATTGACTGCAAAAAAACGTGTGGAAGTAGTTAACTATACAAAGTAATGCCCCACTAAACTCTTAACAGACCCAGCTCCGCCTCAAACTTAATGCGGTTCCCCCGCTCGCCCCTTCACTCACCAAAGTACTTGTTTCTCCCAGGCGCGCCATCAATCAAATTCTGAGGAGGCATCCCGAGGGTCTACACACAATTTACAAAGAGACAATGATCACCCATACAGTATTGACACACTTGGGTGGCATGTTTTGTCTATGAGCACCTACTGATGATGGCACAGCACCCAAGGCCACACCGCAGTAGCTATTTTACAAATCACTCTAGGTATTGATTTAATGCTTAGTCGATATTTGAGAGGCCAAGGACTGGTCCAACATTCAACACCACACGGTCAGGGCGCTAACCACTCAGCTACCACTCCCGATGGTTCTCGCATGCAGGCACACGGCAGTGTTATTGGCATGGCCCAGCAAAACCGCGTACGCAGCACGTTGCAGAAGTTCACCGATCAATCCCAGTGACTGCCCTGGTCTTTCCTGCTGTATTAAACCACAAAATACTATGCACCATCTGCCTCATTCACAGCGGAGGTTATGGGTCCCGTGGCTTCATTTGAAATTGCTTATATGGTTGTGACAATTGTCTTCATTACAAGCAGTTGAGATGAAACAACAATAATTTGCGCGATAAATGCTTGTTCATCTGACAATTCAAATTGTTTACAGGTGGTTTTAGGGTTACATTTGGCCAATCCGTGGCCTCACGCAATAATCTATCACGAGTCATAACACCAGCTCTAAAAATCTATGCGTTCTGCTCACGGTTACCTTGACGGGTCTACGCCTGAGTAATTGCTTCTGTCATGCAGGTTGTATGCAACTCAGTTAGCTTGTGTGTGGACAACCCTGCAACCAGTCGCGAGCACTTGTATGCCTCTTTCTCACAGAAGAGACGACTTAAGTGGTCTGTTCAGGGAATTGTAAGGAACTATTTCCTGTCGCATGTTCTATTGGTCATACCAATTTTGAATATTATGTTAATACCCTTGATGTGGAAATACTCGCTGAGAAGTGAACGTGGTTAGAAGCAATGACTGAGTTGGGCGATTTCAAGAGCAAATTGGTCATGAAATTGATGCCAATAACGGAATTGTCAGTGTTACTGCTGTGTGGGCAATACCTCCATATAACACGGGAGCTGGTCGAGTTTGTTGATGGCCGGAAAGAGGATGCGTCCGGTAGCCAACTCGGCCACTGTACAACCCAGTCCCCACATGTCAACCGGGAAAGATGACACTGTGGCCCAGGTACGCCTCTGGGGCAAGGTACGCGTGGGAACAAAAATTCTGTGAACCTGTGAATTACAAAAGACAAACATCACCAATATAGCCTTTAACAGCAACACACAGGCACAAAAAACAAGTATAAAAACACATGTACTCACCCATAGGTCTAGACACATGCACACACACAGGCGCAGAGATGCAAACACGTGTATATACACACACACACACAAAACGTCCCCATATAGCCTTTAACAAATTTCTATGGAATTTTCTTTTAGCGAGCACCTAATGAAGGCCTGAACAACACACACGAGGATGGGTGGCCAGCACCACGCTCATCCACCTTTGTCTCCTAAAGTGGTGGTGCCTAGGCACCGCACATGGTACTCATTTATGGCTGATTCGACCTAGGGGAGGCCCAGGACTGGTTCAGATATTCATGAACGCGTATTTTACTCCAGTCACCAGGATTGTAGTGCTGTCGACTAACCCCAACACTACGGCTCCTCACTGCATAAACAAAGAAAAGTTCCCCCATGTAGCCTTAGACATTGTTGGGGTAAGTGCAATTAGTGACAACCTATGAAGTCTGCAACGACACTTGAAGGGGGTGGGTGGCCTGCACCGTGCCTGGCCGCCTTTGTCTCCTGAGTGGCATTGTATACACACCACACCAGGTACTCATTTGAGACTGAGTCTGCCTAGGGGAGGCCCATGACCGGTTCAGAAAACCGCCACTCGAACCTGGGTCGCCAGTTTCGTAGTGCAGTGTGCTAACCACTACACTACTGCTCCTCAAACTGCATAAACACACATTCTCACACTCAGCCACACACTCACGACTCACGTTGGCGTCCCACCAAAAAGCTGTTTTCAAAACTCATCATCCGGATGGTCCCTGCCCCAGGCTCTTTAATCGACATGTTCCTCTAGACGATGGGCAGCAGAAGATATTCACATTCAGAGGTTATGATAATAATGTCAACTTGTAATACGCCAATGCCATGCAGTATTCACTCTATCTGGAAGAGCGAGAACCACTCTGAGGCACGAGGAGAGGCCACAGATGATGTTTCACACCATTGGTGTGATCCACCAACCTGCGGCTCTACAGTGCTGAATTACAGGCATGCACAACTATTCAGCCTGCAAAACATTGATCATGTAGCAAAATTACCATAATATTAAAAGGGGAATTGGAGATGACATGCTTTTGCCAAGGTTATTCAAAGCGACTCAAGAGAATGTTTACTGACGGCTGCCAATGGGGTGCCAATTCAAATGTATTTAGATGAAATTATGCCAATCGATAATCTCATGTAGAGCACTCTTGGATACCCGGCGTAAAAGAGGGCGCTCTTATCATACCTGAATAATGATTGTTACAAGAGGGCCGAACGGAGCTTGTAGCTGTGAGTTTGAGTTAGGCAGAAGCATGCACATGCATGAAGTTGGTAACGTATTCTCATGCGCATGAGCAGCATGAAAACAGGTGGGCAGCTGTCAGGTTAAAGCACAGCTGCTTATTTGCAAAGCCTCCTTTTACTTGCACTGGTTTGTGTCTCCATGATTTGGGCATTGCTTTGTTTCGACGTGTCTGGTTTTCTCTTGTGCGAGTCCCTAATAGCAAAAAACCTTTAAACTTAAGTTTCACCCATACATAACCCTCTGTACGACAGTTATGACCCGCAGCTATTGACAGTTGGACAGAGTGGATGCATTAACGCTTTGATCAATGGGTCTAGGTTTTACGAAGATGAGCCCCAAACAGGAACTCAAATTAATGCTGCACTTGCACTGAACGTGGTCTCCACTCACCGGCTTGATGTCCCCATGCACGATTCCCTTTGCATGGAGTTGAATGAGGAATTTGAGAATGGACTTGGTGAAGAGTTTCACCATTGTCATCTCCATGTGCTGGGGTGCCGTGCAATCAATGGCACTTAACAGACGTCTTCTGTTAAAGAGACAACAACACAAAGTCAGTGCCATCCTGTAAAGGGCTGAGTCAACAATAACAATTATCAACAATTATTATACTCGTTTATCATATGGAAGCCTCAATAAATGTAAACACTTTCTCCTGAGGGTCCCGCCAAGTTCTCCTGTCGGGGTGACATTGTTCCTATGTGTAATCCCAACCGAGTCATTTTAAGGTATTTTCTCAGAATTGGAAAATTTGTCGGATGCCAGTTAAATTGTGTGCGAGTGTTTTGCTATTGGAGGAATCCGGAGAATGCAGAGGAATTCCATGCAGAACAAGGGGAGAACAAACTCCACACAGACACTTATCCGAGTCAGCAATCGAACCCAACCTCTTGGTATGATGCACGAGTGTTACCACTGCCGCCACACTGCCGGTTGTTGGCGTGGCTGTAGAAAAATGAGCAAGTCTGGAGGAGAAAATGGAGTGGAGCAGCCAGCTTTGCATGTCTCTGTTGAGCTGCTCAGACAGCGGGGTACGTACTTCGGTATGAGCTGCATGACGAGGCAGTTGTGACCCCTGAAGGTGAAAAAGTCGAGGATTCTGACAACGTTGACATCATCATTAGCCCAGCCCTGAAGTTGGCGCAAGATGTGGTACTCCATCCACTGGCTGTGGTCTTCCTCGGCACTGCACAGCGGAAATCCACAGCTTCATATTAATTACAAGAAGTGACCCTGGCAACACGCAGTATGTCGCTCGCTCTAAAAGACAGTTGTCCTTCATCACACCTGCGATTAATACAGTGGGCTACGTACGGCGCGAAAGAAGTTAAACATAAATCCAGAGAAAACCCGCACATATGAGCACCATAACACTACCCACATAAAGATGGAATTGATTTACTGTCCTGCCTTCTCCATGCAAGCCATTGTGAAGTCTTACCTGAATGACTGTCTCCACATCTTCACAGCCACTCGGGTGTTGGTCTTGTGGTCACGGCATTTGAAGATCTGGCTGTAAGGTCCGACCACCTTCTTCAGCACCTCATACCGGAAATTGAGGTGCTCATGCTCGACCTGCGGAGCAATCACATCAACTAAGTATACTGATCCAGTCACTGCTCATTCAGTCACTGAGTATGGATGCAATATTTTGTGTGGCATGTGTAAGAGTGATTGTGTGAATGTGTCAGGTATGTTGGCCGGATGTTCTGCAGATGATCATGGTGTTTGCCAGTGTGCAGACTTTGTATGTTCTCCACGTGTTACGTGCCCTGAGGAGAGTCGTACCGAGACATAATGGTTGTAGACATTATCGTAGCCATGGTTCTGGGTGCCAAAGCCTTTGTTATGGACGCCGAAATACCAGACGTTATTCACGGTGAGGACCTCGCTTCTCTCGGTGGGGGTCAGGAAATCCCCAAAGAGCTTCAAGATTTCTGCAAACATGAGAACAATGATGATGATTAACACTGTACTATTGTTATAATATTGTTTTGTTAAATACGTTTTCGTTTCTTTAATTTGTTGATTAAGCAATGTAGTGGGTTTTTTTCCATTGGATTGTTAACCAATTCCGTATTCCTATAACATGTGAAGAACAGACTAATGACAAATTTGGTATCACCACCTATGTAACCGCGCTTTTGACATGAAGACTTGTTTAACATCCAAACGATCACAGGACACCCATGAAACATAACCTGGCTGCTTATTGGGCCCTTCCTGCTGAAATGATAATAAAATGTATGATGCTTGTTTACCCAAGAAAGCTCCACTGAGTGCCTGAACTGCATATAATCACCAACACTATATTTTTTTGCATTGGGATGTTTTAATAATTTTCCGTCGCTGTGGGAGGAAACTGAAGAGCCTGGAGGAATCCCATGTAGAGCAGGGGGAGATTATCCCGACTCCAAAGAGAAATGCACGAGGAGTGTTCCTGCTGTGCCACCCTGCCTCGCAACATTTTTATTCCAAAACCATTCACATGCTTGATTTTGTTTTCAACTATGGCCACCATGACGTCCCCCACCATGACTTCTCTAATCATATCTATCACCTCGTGGGGTTTTACTACTGGCGATGGAAACGCCGTCCGATGTGGGCAGCGCACTCCATTGCACGTCGCTCCTGGAGCCCACCTTCTCTTCAGCCTTGGCCATCTACACACACAGACAAAGATGCAGGTCTCCCGGTATAACCTTTAGCAATCTGTTGAGGAAAGTGCAGTAAGTGAGCAATGAGCCAAAATCGCTGAGGGCCTGGGTTCCACAGTGAGGAAGGCCAGGCTTTGGAAATATGGGGCGAAGTTGCTATGTGGTCCAGCCATTGGGAACTCCCAGTGGCAGTTGTCCCTGTGCATTAGTCTACCAGTGGACTAGTAGTCTACCAGTGGACTATTAGTCTACCAGTGGACCATGAGTCGACCAGTAGACTATTAGTCTGGATGCAGGAAGTTGTGGGTACGATGCCGACCCTGTGTGACTGATAGTGAGCGTGAAAGTATGAAGTGATTATGAGAGAGTGAGGGTTTGTAAGTATTAGAGTGAGTGGGAGAGTGCGTGAGTTTTAGAGTTAGTGAGATAGTGAGATAAAGTGTGAAAGTGCATGAGTTTGAGAGTGAGATAGTGTGAAGGTGAGTATCAGAGTTAGTGAGTGAGCATGAGTTATTGATAATAAATGTGAGTGAGTTTGAGAGTTAGTGAGTGTGAGATTCAGTGTGTGAGGGGGTGTGAGTGTGAGTGTGAAAGTTAGTTTGAGATTGATGTTGTGAGAGTGCATGGTAAAGTGAGAGAGTTAGTGTCAGAGTGAATGTGTGTGAACGTGAGTGAGAGAGTTACAGTGAGTGTGATAGTAAGTGAGTGAGTGCGAGTGAGACAGATTGAGTGAGTGAGAATGAGAGAATGAGTGTGAGTGAGTGTGAATGAATGTGAAAATGAGTGGGGGAGTTAATGAGAGTGAGTGGGAGCATGATAAAGTGAGCAATAGAGTGAGTGTGAGTTAGTGAGTGTGAAAGTTAATGCTTGTAAGAGTTATTGAGCGGGAGAGTAAGAGTGTGAGAGTGAGTTAGAGTGAGAGAATGAGTTGGAGAGTGCGAGAGTGTCTCTGAGTGAGATTCAGTGAGAGACAGTGTAAGTGAGATAGTGTGAATGAGTTTGAGAGTTAGTGTGAAAGTGAATGTGAGAGAGTGTGAGCAGGAGAGTAAAAGTGTGTGTGAGAGTGCATGTGAGTGAGCGAGTGAGACAATGAGTATGAGCAAGATAGTGAATGTGAGCATGAGAGTGAATGCTTGTGAGTTATTGAGTGGGAGCGTAAGAGAGTGAGTGTGATAGTGAGTTACTGTGAGAGTGAGTGGGAGAGTGAGAGAGTGCATGTGAGAGAGAATGAGTACGTTAGTGAATGTGAGAGTATGTGAGAGTGATACAGTGAGTGTGAGACAGAGGTTGAGAGTGAAACAGCGAGTCGGACAGTGTGTGAGTGAGCGCGAGTCTCACCGTGCCCCCTCCTCCTCGTCTCCACTCCCCGTAAAGAATAGCAACAAGAGCTCGGCAACTTGTGCTGCTACCTTCTCTGCACGTCTCACTACACGGAAGTCACGTGTGCAGTGACGTCACTCACCTCCACGGCTATGGCCACGCCCCTATCTCTCCTCCCCACTCAACGAGTGGCCACGTGACCGCCCAACGGTTCGTGCCGTGAGTGTAAGACTTGAGTGAGAAAGTTTGTGAATGTGAGTGTTAGAGTTAGTGTGAGAGTGAGTTTGAGTGAGAGAGTGTGAGAGTTAGTGAGTGTTTTAGTGAAAGAGTGTTAGTGAGAGAGACAGTGAATGTTAGAGTGCCTTTAAGAGTGTGTGAGTGAGTTAGTGAGTGGGTGAGTGTGAGATGGAGTCTCACCGTGCCTCCTCCTCGTTTCCAATCCCCGTAAAGAATAGTAACAGGAGCTCAGCTCTTTGTGCTGCTACTGCTGCTACCTTCTCTGCACGTCTCACTACACGGAAGTCACGTGTGCAGTGACGTCACTCTCCTCCACGGCTATGGCCACGCCCCTCTGTTTCCGTTGCGTCAGACGCTCAGACCCCTCCCACTCAACGAGTGGCCACGTGACCCCCCAACGATTCGTTGCGTGACTGGTGAGTTAGACTTGAGTGAAAAAGTTTGTGAATGTGTCAGAGTGAGTGGGAGAGTATGAGTGAGTGAGTGTAAAAGTTAGTGAGTGTTATAGTGAAAGAGTGTACATGAGAGAGTGAGAGATTGAGAGTGAGTGTGATGCTGAGTGTGAAAGTGAGTGAGAGTTTGAGTGAGACAGTGAGTGTGAGTAGATAGGGAGTGTGAGAACGAGAGTGAGTATGCAAGTGAGTGGGAGAGATAATGTGAGAGAGAAAGTGTGAGAATGCATGAGATTGAGATAGTGTGAAGGTGAGTATCAGAGTTAGTGAGTGAGCATGAGTGATTGAGACTAAATGGGAGTCAGTTTGAGAGTTAGTGTGAGATTCAGTGTGTGAGGGGATGTGAGTGTGAGAGTGAGTGTGAAAGTGTGAGATTGATGTTGTGAGAGTGCATGGGAGAGTGAGAGAGTTGGTGTCAGAGTGAATGTGTGTGAACGTGAGTGAGAGAGTTACAGTGAGTGTGATAGTGAGTGAGTGCGAATGAGACAGATTGATTGAGTGAGAATGAAAGAGTGAGTGTGAATGAATGTGAGAATAAGTGAGTGGGGGATTTAATGAGAGTGAGTGGGAGAGTAATAAAGCGAGTGAGAGAGTGAGTGCGAGTTAGTGAGTGTGAGAGTGAGTGCGAGTTAGTGAGTGTGAAAGTGAATGCATGTAAGAGTTATTGAGCGGGAGAGTAAGAGTGTGAGAGTGAGTTAGAGTGAGAGAATGAGTTGGAGAGTGCGAGAGTGTCTGTTAGTGAGATTCAGTGAGAGACAGTGTAAGTGAGATAGTGTGAATGAGTTTAAGAGTTAGTGTCGAAGTGAATGTGAGAGAGAGTGAGCAGGAGAGTAAAAGTGTGTGTGAGAGTGCATGTGAGTGAGCCAGTGAGACAATGAGTATGAGTCTAATAGTGAATGTGAGCTTGAGATTGAATGCTTGTGAGTTATTGAGCGGGAACGTAAGAGAGTGAGTGTGATAGTGAGTTAGTGTGAGAGTGAGTAAATTAGTGAATGCGACAGTATGTGAGAGTGATACAGTATGAGACAGAGTTTGAGAGTGAAACAGCGAGTCTGAAAGTGTGTGAGTGAGCGTGAGTCTCACTGTGCACCCTCCTCCTCGTCTCCACTCCCCGTAAAGAATAGCAATAAGAGCTCGGCTCTTTGTGCTGCTACTGCTGCTACCTTCTCTGCACGTCTCCCTACACTGGAGTCACGTGTGCAGTGACGTCACTCACCTCCACGGCTATGGCCACGCCCCTCTGTCTGTGTTGCGTCAGACCCTCAGACCCCTCCCACTCAACGAGTGGCCACGTGACCCCCCAACGATTCGTTGCGTGACTGGTGAGTGAGACTTGGGTGAAAAAATTTGTGAATGTGATTGTCAGAGTGAGTGGGAGAGTGAGTATCAGTGAGAGTGAGTGTGTGTAAGAGTTAGTGAGTGTTATATTGAAGAGTGTGCATGAGAGATTGAGAGTGAGTGTGATGTTGAGTGTGAAAGTGAATCAGAGATTGAGTGAGACAGTGAGTATGAGTAGTTAGTGAGTGTGAGAATGAGAGTGAGACAGTGAGTATGCGAGTGAGTGGGAGAGATAATGTGAGTGTGAGAGTGAGTGAAAGAGTGATTTAGAGAGAGATTGAGTATGAGAGTGAATGGGAAGGTGAGGGTGAAAGTGGGAGAGATAATGTGAGTGACAGAGTGAGACAGTGAAGGTGAGAATGAAATGTAGAGTGTGAAAGTGCGTGGGACAGAGTAGGAAATTGCATAAAGTTGAAAAGAGGGGGGGTCGAGATGAGGGACAACCAGGAGAGTTCCGTTCACGAGTTCTGTGTGGAGGGTTTGGGAATCTGTAGAGCAGTGACGTGAGGTGAGGTCAATGGCTGGTGAGGCACTGGCTAGTGTCAGGGCCTGATTCAGACACTGAGGGGGGCGTGGCCTTACAGAGGGGGCGTGGCCTCACTGAGGGGGCGTGTCCTAACTGAGGGGGGCTTGTTAGATACGTCCCCGTCACTGAGGCAGATGTGATAGCTGCCTCCCCTGGTGCTTTTTCATTGCAGTTTCATGACGAGACCAGCGAGCCTAGATATCTTCATACATATACGTGAAATAAGTTACATGAAGGCGAGAACATGAAATGAAGGGGTCTACAACCATTACATTGGTGACATACTGAGATTGTAACAGGCACGCGCTTATTGTCCGAGCTCAATCCAGTTACTGAGGGGTTGTGCAATCAGAGAGGAGGCTGAGCTCGTCGCTGCCTCACCTCTCGTCTCTTCTTGTATTTGCAGTGGAGCTTCGCAAATTTGGAGATTTTTTATTTTACTAGATTATTCTTTTTTTTACTTTTAGAAACCGTTATTTACATTGGATTATGACAGGTGAGGCTCTGCCTCCCTGCCTTCCCTGACCGCACGTCCCTGCTGTAGAGAGGGTTTGGGGCATCTGTCTTGGGGGTTCCGTGTGGGGGGTTTGGGGGTTCTGTATTGGGGGTTTGGGGGTTTTGTGTATGGGGTTTGGGGGTTTTGTGTGAGAGTTTGAGGTTCCACTCACAAGGGAACAGGGTGTGATCATACAAACTCTCACATGGAGACTAATAGACTCATAAAGAGACTCACAGACTCGCATAGTTCCCATAGAGGTTCACAACTGTGTGGTGGACACTCTGGTCAGTGGTTCTGATATGGCACGCCGAGATGTCGACCAATCTCCACTGTGATGGTGGCAGTGGGTGGCTCTGCCAAGAGGTGTGCCGCCGATTAGAGCTACTGCCAACCCTCGCATTCACAGCATACATTCAATCCTGGAGAGGTGCTTAAGTGGGCTTGGCGATTGTCACGTTGCTTGTTCGGAGATCTCGGTGTTGCACTGAAGACAAACTTCCCCACAGACACAGCTCCTCTCTAGGAGCTAGCTGTACCCATAACATGTAGCTCTGTCAACTGCAACACCAGGGAGAACAGTCATACACACACATGTATCCTGCAACACTTTCCAACATGTGAGTCACAAAATCCAACCTTTCACACCAAGTAATTCATGTCCCTCCCGCTCACACCATGCCAGCCCCACCTTCCAACCACAAATGCCCCCCTGTAGACAGGGAAAATTCTTCTCTTTGTTTTTTTCGGTGAAGTCACGTATAAATAAGAAATAATAAAATAACATAATAGCGTACGACGTTTCGGTTGCAACACAAGCAGCCATAATCAGGTACAGAAGAGCTAAATTTACGAGAGAGGGGAAACACATAACCTCAGATGTATATACAGACACCCAAGAATGGGGAACTAACACAGATACAACAGGGGACACAGAGAGAGAAGCATACCAGACAAACAGGGTTATGCAAAATTTTGGAAACTATATAAAGCAACACAGACGGTCGGTCAAAACACAATTAACGCATAGTCCGGTTGATCACGCTATTTCAAAGATTGCTAAATTGCAAGTTAAGTATGAAACTCAAAATACAGACCAAACACACACACACAGACATCCAAGTAGAGCGAACCAGCACAGAGACAAGCACACAGTGAAGTCGCCTTAAATAGCAGAGAAGGTAAGGCTGAGAGACAATGGGACAAAATTAGCATGAGGTGTGCATGGAGCAAAGTGGGGCGTGGCAGCACCCACTCGGAAGCAACAAGGCCCACACACAGGTAGAGACAGCACAGAGCCACAAATCCAAGCCAAGACACAAAGGCAGATACACATGCAGAGACAATACAAAGACACAGACCTCATACCTCCCCGAAGAGGTGGTTCAGACTGGATTTGAAGCTTTCGTGACTGCAGGAATTACTCTTTGGTTTTTCGGTAAAGTCACGTATAAATAAGAAATAATAAAATAACATAATAGCGTACGATGTTTCGGTTGCAACACAAGCAGTCATCATCAGGTACAGAAGAGCTAAATTTACGAGAGAGCGGAAACACATAACCTTAGATGTATATACAGACACCGAAGTAGGGGGAACTAACACAGATACAACAGGGGACACAGAGAGAGAAGCATACCAGACAAACAAGGTTTAGCAAAATTTTGGAATCCATATAAAGCAACACAGACGGTCGGTCAAAACACAATTAACGCATAGTCCGGTTGATCACGCTATTTCAAAGATTGCTAAATTCTATTCGTGATCACCTAAAATGGTCGATAGGGGACAGGGTGGGTGGCCAGCACCACGCTCAGCCGCCTTTTTCTCGACAGGGCTGATGGTTTACACACCACACCAGGTACTAATTTAAGAATGAGTTAACCTAGGGAAGGCACAGGTCCGGCTCAGATATCGGAGTATCAGGTCGCCAGGTTTGTAGTGCAGCACGCTAACCACTGCACCACCACTCTTCCCCCCCCCCCCCCCCCCCCCCCACCGCTTCCAACAGGCACCGACATGCTGATGATGGGGGTGAACGGACCCCGCGCGCCATGAAGCAGACGGGCAACGTCATCTACAACGTCACCTACACGGTGACGGAGATGGGCACCTCCATCCTCATCGTCAAGTGGGGTTATGATTGCATCCCCGGCAGCCTCTTCCGCATCACCATGTCGTGCAACTTCGGCTAGGGTTCACCACGACAACAATGATATGGCGATAATGATAATGCGACTACGGTACAGCGATGATGGTAGCGTAACAAAGATACGGCAATGATGATACCATGGGAATGATACGGCGATAGTGATACCGTGACGACAATATGGCGATGCTAATACCGTGATGACGATTCAGCAATGATAATACCGGGACTGCAAATATGGCGATGATGATACCGTGACTATGCTGCGATAATGATACTGTGACGACAATATGGCGATTATGATGATAAGGTAATAACGTTGATGATACCGTGACGATGATATGGCGATAATGATACTGTGAAAACAATACAGAGCTGATCATAGCGCCATGACAACATGGTGATGATGATACCGTGACGAGGATTCAGCTATGATGTACCATGATGACGAGTTGGCGATGACACCGGGACAATGATATGTCAATGATACCATGACGATGGAATGGTAATGATGAAGAAACCGTGACGATAGAGTCATGATTAAAACCGTGACAACAATACAGCAATGATGATATT